CTTGTCGTCCGTATGGGTGGGGCATCCGAGTCGTGCGTGACCTTGATGACCTTGGCCTTAATGACCTTGACCTTGATGACCTTGATGACATTGACCATTACCTTGGCCCTGACCTTGACCTTGGCACTGGAGGTTCTAAAAATAGATCCCTTTCTCTCTTATCAGTGGCCTAGTCCTTGTCCTTGACCTTAACCTTGACCTTGCTAAAAATAGATTCTTATCAGTGGCCTTGACCTTGACACGTGGGCGGTTCTAAAAATAGATCCCTTTTTCTCTTATCAGTGGCCTAGTCCTTGTCCTTGTCTTTGACCTTAACCTTGACCTTGCTAAAAATAGATTCTTATCAGTGGCTTTGACCTTGACACGTGGGCGGTTCTAAAAATAGATCCTTATCTCTCTTATCAGTGGCCTTGACCTTGACCTCTTATCTTATCTCTTATCAGTGGCCTTGACCTTGACCTCTTATCTTATCTCTTATCTCTTATCAGTGGTCGGGAAATGGTATAGTTTATCTACTTATATATATATATATATATATATATATATATATATATATATATATATATATATATATATATATATATATATATATATATATATATATATATATATATATATAGCTGAAATGACTTGCGTATTAAGTATTTTTCAGATCGTTATGAACATTTTATAAAAGCATACTGGATATCTCAAAAGAAACACAAAATTCATAGCACCTTCTATAATTAAAATTCAGTTTAAAGGTAGGTATGTAAGTGTTTTGAAATGATTTCTTTTAGATTTTCTCGTTTTATTTCACGGAGCTGTGACGTGATTTTGTTTAATTTTCTTAAAAACAGTTCGAGAAAAATTAGAATTAGGTATAAATAATTAGGTAGGTACTGGATTTTTATTTAAATTAACTTTTTAAAAATTGTGAATTTATTATCGAGAAATCGCAAATAGAAATCCGAAAAGTACTTATACTTATCGCTAGTAATTCTTCTGTGCAAATGTTATTAGTTAACGATGGATTTTTTTTCGATCAATAAAAATTTGACACAATTCTTGCATTTAAGCCTCTTATTAAAAACAAGAATGTAAAAAAATATTGGCTCTACTTGATGTGAGAGTCGCCTAAAAAAATGTTGTATGCACCTCGACCGTATGATAATTTTTATCCTAACCAGAATTGCAAATTTATGATTCGGCCAAAAAAAGATCAACTTTACGGCCTTACTACACAAATACCTATTTTGGACGGTTAAAATGAATGTTCTTATTTCTGTTGCCTACCAATATACAGTGAGGATAAAGGGATACATTAATTTTCTGTCTCATTAATAATTAATTTTTAAAGAAAATCCTGTAAAGTAAATTTTCATTTTTGAATGCGACAGTATTTGAATTCAATTAATTGTATAGGTACCTACTTCAAACCCCTTGTACTGACAACTACCGCCTTTTCATTTTTAAATGAAATGAGTGATCATGTCATACCTTATTTTAAAGGGGTTAATACTCGTTCCAGTAATAGAAGTTTTTTAAAAGTTTTACATTTTTCTTTATGAAGAAACATAACTGTAAATCCAGCAAATCTTCCCAAAAATAGCTGAACATGTTTTATAAGAATCTGAAAAATTATTTCATTTTAATATTTTTTTTATAATAAAATAAGATTGCTTGTTAAAAATTAGAAAAATACAAACAAAATCCTTATGTGACTGAATAAAGAATTAAAAACCTTTTAAAATGAGGTATCAAATCCCTAATTTTATTTAAAAATTTGAATTGGTTGCTGTCACTCCAAAGCGGTTGAAGCAAGAGGTACATAATTATGTTAAAATATTGTCATTTTAGAAATCAAAATTGACCTGTTTCAGGAATTTAAAGAAGTAGTTAGCTGGAAATTTATAATTTACTTACTCTATTAAATTTACAATGTTTTGTTTATTGGCTATTTTTAACAGCAACGATTTTTTCATTAGTTTCGATTTTTTGGATCGACTACCTGTTTTGGAAGGAAACCGTCTGGTTTTCTTGTCTAAAATTTCGTATACAAATCAGACACCTAGTACAAATTTTTAAAAGTTAATACTGAAGAAAATACAAGCAATAAGTAACCTTTTAAGTCATTTTTTAGAAAAAAGTACCTATAACTTACCTGTTTTAGACATGGCTATTGCCTTTCACAAAAAATGTTCAATAATTAAAAAAATATTAAATCAATTCAAAATACACTAATACAACAGCTTCAAAAGCAAAGTGAAAAATAAGCTTTAGTACTTTTTGGCTTGTATAAATTCCAAAAAATAATTTTTACGGCATACCGACAAAGGGCAGTATACCTACTTTGATATTAGCGAAACTTTCTTGCGACACGTGCCGGTGTAGGATATATACCGGGTGTCCTATACGATTCTGGCCAGCTATTATCTAAATGATATAATAGCATCAAATCAACCTTTGCCAAACCACCCCCTAGAAACCCTAGCCGAGCGGATAGCGTGAGATTAGTGGACATCCGCGTTCTCGCAACAGTTAAGCCGTGATATCTCCAGTCAGGTCGTAGATGATTGTCGGCTGGGACGATTAGCATGGGCCATACCACCATATGATTTAGCCAACAAGTGTTAAACCATCGACGATGTGAAATTAATAACGGTGAATGAGTGAGTAATTGAGAAAGTAGTGGGACGTTCAAATGGTGGTACAATAAACTGCAAGCTGCAATAATCCATATCGTCTTAGAAAATCTGTACCTAATATTTGGATTGAAATGTCAGCTATTGTAAATATAAAGGAAAATTGACGGCGTAGTCCTAAGTTTAGAGTTAGTAAACGTTGACCATATGTATTTATGATACTATTGTTTGCGGCATATAAAATTACGGATGATTTATTTCTTTTCTCGTTTGATTTGGATTAGAAGGCACGAGTGACAAATTCGCACCTGTATCCATAAGCGTTATCGGAAACTTACTCGGATCAGAAAGATTATGGATCCTATTGTCACTTTACTTATGGTTACTAACCCTATCCATGTTCGGAAACTAGTATATTACTGATCCAGCTTTGTGATTGAGATCAATATTTTCTGATCTACTCTGCGAGCAGATTAGTAATAGGTCCACATGTGTAGCGCAGGATTTTATAAAGGGATAATGTAATTTTTTGATGTCTGGTGTCTGTCAGTAGTAGCTTTGAAGTTTTTTCTATATTTAATTAGTAACAACTTATAATCTTTATGCTCATATTGCAACTTTATTAGTCATACTACAAATATGTTTAATTAAAATGGTTCGTTAACAAATAAGGGTTTATAATATTGACAGTTACGCGGAAGAGGTCAAAGATTGACAGACGTAGATAAACAGGAACAATAATCCAACTTATTCGTAAACTGTTGGCACTAAGTTCAGTGATCCACGTGATCCATCGGGTAAACCCAGTAATCTGGATTTGTTATCTATAGTAGGATTCCAAAAACGCCTTATTAAAAATATAATGCCAGTAGGTTTGTCTTGTACTTAAAGGCGGTTGGATTTTTTTGGACCCCTCATTCACCGCTAATATGAGGTCTTGGTCTAGTTTTCCGGATTTGAAGAAATAGAGGGTTTAAAACTACATGGAGCTGTGCATTTCCGAGCATTTTCTTTAAATTTATTATGATACCAACAAATCATGAGGCTTTTTTTCTAGAACTGCTGCGGGAATGTGAAAAGAAATTATATCTGAATCTTTGCCTTAAAGTATGGAGTTTATTCACTTCGTGAGGTAAATTTTTTTACCTGTTTTGCTAATTCGAAAATTTCGTGTTGTGAGGTTGACGTAAAGGCTATTATTGGAATATTGACTAAATGAATTTTATCTGCTATCTCAGCCAATTTATCTTATGTTTCAGTGCTTACTTGGAGAATTGCCTGTGTCGAACTGGGTAAACGTTGAAGCCAAATGGTTTTGAGAAGTTCGTCATTGAATGTTAGACCAGCAAGATTTTGCAGTTCTCGAAGAAACTGCGATGGGCGGCGATCTCCGAGTTCCAAATGTCCAAGTAGTTTCTGCTCATCGGAATCACCGCATCTTTTAATTAGAGCGTTTTTTAGTGAGACGTAATCGTAGTTTGCTATTTGGATAATATCGGAAACTACTTTTAAAGTTTGTGATGAAATAGCGGCTATTATGTAATTATATTTAGTCTGAGAAGTTATGTGTGCTAGTTCAAACTGAGCGTCCACGTGGACGAACCAAATTTGTGGGTCTTCATCTCAGAAAGTTGAAAGTTTAACACGAGAACTAGCTGTATTTCTAGCTTCAGGCATTCCATCCGTATCAGGCATATTGCGTTGTGTAAGCGTCGGGGTCACCAGATTTTTAGTGGAGTTTGTACTAAAAAATTATATATATTTATTTTAACAGACGTATTAATGAAATTACATGTAAATATTTTTTAATTTACCGTTCTTCTTCAATTTTAACTAACTTGATACATTACCAACAATTAAAATATTATTAAACAGGGTGATACTCCACATACACATGAATGGACATTGTGCCTTTCGATATAAGTCAATGCCTGTTGCGGTATTGGCCAAAGGAGTGGTTGTTTTTATGAGTGAATTGCTTTGAGATTTTATTTTACATCTTGGTCATATTTGAGTTTTGAATTAATATAAATTTTTAAAAATTATCCGCCTGGCGTTCTATTCTACATAGTTTTTGAACTAAGTACTACTTAAAAGCGAGATTTAATTTTGCTTACAAAGTGTAGAATATGTCGTTAGGTACTTTGTGATTTCTTATTTTCACACAATCTCTATCCATGTGTATGAAAAAATTTAATACATTTGCAGTTCCATTAGAGACTGCAATCGATGTTTATCTTGCTGATGAGTCTTAATAAGGACGAAACCAGTCCAATAATGACGCTCTTCTTGGTAAGTAAAATGAAAATTGGATTGTTAAAAATAATTCTCTATACATTTCGTCTTTTTATTGATATAATTTAGCGGTATTAGTAAAAGGAGTAGTTGTTTTCAGGATAGGAACGGTCAGTTGTATATTTGACACATGGCTATGAGATTTTAATCACTGTCTCTCTCTGGGTTTGAGCGTCTTTCACCTTGTTTTAAATAACGGGGTTTACAGGAGGGGGTAACATTTCTGGTCTTCATGGTTTGAATTCCATTGAAAAACCATGCAATATCTTATTTATAGGTTAAATAAAAATTTTAATTAATTTAAATAACGTAGGTCTTTATTAAAAAAAAATCACAATATACTTTAAGTACAACCTGGAAAAATTGGAATGTATAAAAATTGCACTAACTAAATATATAGGTAAAACTATTAAATACAGTACGTTTCAAGTCACAGAAAAAAACAAAAAACTTGTAAAACTACATTAAATATTGAGATCTTATAAAATATCTTCTAAGTCTATCTCTTTTCCTGACACAAATTTTGATTTTATACAAAATATTAAGGTAATTTTAATATCTTAAAAAGCTTTTTAGGCACATGTTTTTACAAATTTTACAAAAAATATGTTTCCATATTAGGCAAAAATAAATAAAGGGCACGTAAATATTTCAAAGTCTTTTTTCCTCTGTTTTGCTACATATTCTACTAAAAAAATTAAAGCACTATACAAAATTCACTCTTTTAAATTTACAGTAAGGGCGAATTGTATCAAGTGTAATCTTTCTTTCGTAATATCTATTTGTGAATTTAAATATGCAATGAAATTAAATAAAAGATATTTCTTTTTTGAAAGCATTTATTTCGGGAGGATATTTTTATCATTTCATAAATATTAGTATAGGTACCTATATACTTATTTTAACTATATAGACACGTAGGTAAATCATAATTAGTTTTATTTATTTTTTATTTGAAAGAAAGCCGACATTTGGTACAAACGTCATATTGTACAATACCTCAGATAATTTTTTTGCACAATAAGGCAAAAATATTTTTTAAAGGTACTAGTATTATTCATTTTTATTCATGAAACTTTAAACTATTTTCTCTAGATAAGTGTTCAACATTAAAGGCTCAGGTGGTTTATTTAAAAATAAAATACTATCGAGTTTTAAATTAGTTGGTAATAAAATTTTAAAAAAGAAATCAAAAATATTTGCTGTAAATATGTGATAAACACTTTCTTTTCTTTCCCCTTAACATTACATAAGAATATTTATTTTTCGAAGAATGTACATACTCCCATAAAAACAATACCTAAATAAATAAAAAACATGTAGAACAGAGAAGGTTAAAAATGTTAAAAAAAATCATATTTTTTACTCTGGTACTAACCCAATCTTATAAGATTTTTTAGCTTATTTGGCTTGGCAGATAGAAATAATAAATATTGAGCAAAATATTGACAATGGGGAATTCTTCTTTTTTGATAAATTGATAATCTTTACATATAAACATAGGTTTCATTCTATTTTTTAAATTATACCCGATTCAAAGAAGAGTAAATTACATACCGAGACGGGAAATGCATTACTATCAAGGACTAATATAGTTCAAAGATGAGCTATAGAACGAGATCGGGATGATAATTTTCGCTAAGGTTTATATACTGTTTTATTCACAATCACTTAATTTTAAAGCATAATTAAAACAATATATAATATTTCTTTAAAATTGCTGCTATACAATTTTTAAATACTGTCACTAAGTTGCCGTTGTAAATAACACACTTTTGACATTTAGAAATTGCTTGACATTTTGTATTACTTTGGTTAATTATTAAAAAAAAAAAAAAAAAAAAATAAGGAAAATGAGAGTCTACTCTTTTGACATTTAGAAATTGCTTGACATTTTATAATATTTGGTTAATTATTATTTTAAAAAATAAGGAGACAGAGGTATACACGCTACTAGTGAAATGTAAGTGAAATAAGTACTTAAGTTTGTGAAAAATTTAAAATTTTTATTGAATATTAGGCTGACCGCTTTCGGCTTAGCAAAGCCATCTTCAAAGCCGTCGTCTATGATACCTTCCATATGGAGTCAATTAGAATAAACATAGAGTTGTTAACAACAAATACAACTGAAAAACATTTAGGGGCGGTAAATACATCGAACCCCAATAAATCATGTTAAAATTATAACATTAATAGTGAATTATACTAAATTGTAAAAATAATACATGTTTTCCGGTACATCAGGTGACAAGCATATCTAAATTTGACAGTTGACAGCAGACATATATATCGTGCCTGTCCAGGCAAAGTATCGTAAGACATTTTTTGCGAAACTGGGATTTTGGTGTTGCCCAAATCGTCTAAGTAAGATATATCGATTAAAAAAATATCGTATGCTACAAAACTCATAAAACATCAAATTTCTATTTAAAATTTTTCCATCGTATACGCCCACAAATCATAAAATATCGCAAGCTATAATATTATCAACATTTGTCATGCACTTTGTATCTACCATAGTCTTCTTAAAATATCGTAACCTTATCTCTCTTATGGTTTATTCTATAGCTAAATTTCTAAAACCTTTTAAACAAAGCATGGATTGTACCACCTTGGGGCCAACAATGTTCAATATAAATATTGTATCCACCCGTCGCTTATGATATATTTTTTGTTTAGGTTGTTAATTTTAGCGGCAATTTAAGGTTATTAAATATCGCAACTGCCTGTTTTATTCGTATAAATTAACGTATATGCCTATCGCTTACGATTTTTTCGACGTTATAGCGTCAGTCTTTAACGAGCGTCGGTAGTTAAATAATATAATCAAAGTAACATTAAAAATTAAAAAAAAGGAATACTTAAAATGTCTTTATGAAATATCTTAAGCGACCTTTATTTAGCCCAGCCATACTCAACCTGCGGCCCGCGGGCAGCATGCGGCCTTTCAAGCTTTTTTTGTGGCCCACAACACTATTATTAGTGGCAGCGCTAAATTGCATGCTAATTTTTAAATAAACGTTTGGAATTTTGTAAGGTTACTGCAAAAACAAAATAGCTCCACTTTTGGAATTTTTGAGTTAAGTAGGTAGGTACACTTTCTACAAGTGTGAAAGAAGTCTATATTCATGATAAACAGAAAGCCAATAAAAACTAACTCATTATTAACACTTTAACAATATGGACAAACAGGATGGAGTGGCATTTATACCAAAAAATAATCATAACATTGTGTTCAATTGATAAATGTGTCTACCAAAACCAGATAATAGGCATATAACTTATTTTTGCTAAATATATTTAGTCTGATTCTTAATAGTGTTCCTACCAAAACAAGATAAAGGCCAGAACCGAGGGGAAACCAATAAAGTCAAAACGTACCTGTATTTCGGATATAACTTTAAAATAAATTATGTAATTTAGGTGATTTTACTGAAAATCCACCTTAATTTTATACGATGATCTTTTTTCTCGCCATTTCGGGTTGTGAGCGACGAATTAATTTCGAGCATGATTTTAGATGATGATTTTGGAATTTTCGAGAAAATGTGTAGTGATTCGGTGATTTCCAGTGAAAACGTACCAGTATTTTGGGAGTGGTTTGCCGCTACTTATTTTTGTTGAATGTGTTTGTTGAAATATTACAACATTGTGCACACGCCATTTGTTTTGTTATGACTAGAGCCGTCTCTGGCCTTTCTCGATTGTTCCGAAATCCACGAGATGATTACGTCACCCTTTCTTTCCGCGATACAGCTAACCTTAAACAACCACTAAGTAATAACACGTGGTGTTCGAATCTCCGTGGTAAATAAGTGATTGGTCAAGATGTAACGAGTGATTCGTCAAGCCGCAACGAGCGAATTCGTAAATAAAAGTATTAGTGGTAACAGGCGAATTTGAATTTTAACCATACTTTCTAATAGACAACGTATCGAAAGATTCAGCTATCCTAAATACATTGCACCAGAAAAATATATTTAATTTATCAATGGGCGAGGGTGGGGAGTTCGGCTTTATATGCCAAACTCGCACAGTATTTATTCAGAGGGATGCATGAAAGGATGAAACAAAGTTTTGAAAATACTTACAAAAAGTGCAAGAAGAAAGATTTACTAAAATTTTGCAAAATCAGATACGCCTGATGAATTTCACCATTATTATCACAATCTACCTGTATCCAATAATGTTACTGAAACTTCAACTGAAGATAGTGAAACATACATTGAATTATGATTTGTATGTAGAGCTAAAATAAGCTAAGTGACGTTTTTTCTCTCCTTTTTTACCAATTATTGATAGATTATTAGTTTAAACATTGTGAACAATGTTTTCAATAACTTCTTCATTGAAGTTAATAAATGGTTTGAAGCTTTTACTGATTTTTTTATTCAGTTTTAAACGTTTGAATAGTGTTTTATCGAAACTCTAAAAATGTGAGTTATCTTGTTTTTGCAGTAACACAACGGGATATATTTATGTTTTGTGTTTTATTTATTAGAGGTCCCCACTAACTATTTTAGATAGATGTCCAAAAAAAAGGTCATCATCCAAAAATATTGCGGCCCGTGTAACATAGCACATATACGAATGTGGCCCGAAGGAAAAAAAGGTTGAGTATGGTTGATTTAGCCCAATGAGTAAAGTTTTTAGCAATTACCCCTAAAATCATGGCTTATTATTTCTAGTAATACATCATTCGATAATAATATAAAATATCTCCAAAAAAGCGGAAAAAAACAGATTTTTGTGTTTCCTATAAAATTTCTTAAATGGCGCATACGATACTTTGCTTGGATAGGGACGATATGTAGCTGTTGACAGTATACATAGATGTCTGCTGTCACTGCCAAATTTGTCATCTGTTGTTTAGGGAAAAATGTATTATTTTTCAATTTAGTACCATTCACTATTAATATAATCACTTTTAACGTGATTTATTGGGGTTCGGTGCCTTAACCGTCCCTAAATGTTTTTCAATTGTATTTGTTGTTAACAACTCTATGTTTAATCTCCATATGGAAGGTATCATAGACGACGGCTTCGAAGATGGCTTTGTTAAGCCACATGCGCTCAATTTTAATTACCTAATAATTATTTTTAAGAAACAAAAATTTGCTATTTATTTTGTCATACATTTTCGATATTTTTCAGCACTCATATATTTGCTTTTCGTAGAAGAATTCCCCATGACCAAAATGGCACTGATAAATAGTTTCCTATTTTTCTATATTATTTATATTTTATTAATGAAAAATGTGCAACTAAAAATTTAGTAAAAAATCTTTTTCAGGATTCAAATTTAAAAATGTAAAAGTATTTTTATAATTTGTTATCAGTTATCGCTGATTATCCATATTTATTTAAAATTTTTACAGTTGCACATTCTTCAAAAATCGGGATCATTATATATATTTCGGTATATATGAGCTATTCGTGATCTTAAAATAAGTTAGTGTATTAGGTTTCAAAAAATAACTGTGTTATTTCTCTATATCTGTGTTGTACACTATCTATTTGTCAAATTGCTAAATATTTCTTATTTTAAATTCGGAATGCATAGATTGTTTACAATTTTCACAGTCTTGATTTTGTTTAATTTTTACATGGTTCCTGTAATTTATTTTAAAAAACAAAAAATATTTCACTTGTTTCTCTAGACCAAATATCTATTCATAAAACTGAATATACCTTTATATTATATTTTTCATTCGTGATATTGTTTGCTATATATAAAGCTGAGTATTATAGTGGTGTATTTTAAGTCTACTTATTCTGAAGCGTATATATGCATTGCGATGATAATGAATAGAAAATTAAATGAGTAAATAATAATAGAGTTACAAGAAACAATCTTTAAATAATCATAATGCTAGTTACTTTTTAAGATACCACAAAAAAGTTTTAGTAATAATAAATTTATCCTCAAATGAATTGTTATTTTAAAATTTACTTAAAAAATGTTTATTGCAACTTTTCTTGAGCATATTATTTGAACTTAGAGCAAAAATGTGACAAAATGATGTACATAGGATGGAGATACTTATTTCTAAACTGACGTTTCTTCATTCTTATCTTCAGTTCTGTAAAAGAAAATAATTTTTATTTAAACAACTCTGATTTTAAACTCAGTCGACCTTACCATCTTTGGTTAGTTTGACTAGAATTATTTGTTATATTCCCAACACCACCTAAAGTAAATTAAAGTTGATTAGTAATAGTTTGACTTATTATTGAGGAAGCGACCCCCTATTCTTGACACTCATTCATTATAAAACGTTAGCAATTTTGAACAATGTGATAAATATGCCATTCATCTCGACAATTCTTGAAGGTAATACCAGAAAAGGTGAGAATTTTTTGAGAACATTTTATTGTTTCTTTGGAAATTATGCGTCTAAATTTCAACATTTCGTAGAGTGAAATTTGCATGTTAAAAAAAAAAAATTCTCACCTCGCGGTATTTGGACAGATTATTTAACAATATTGTCGTGCGAAGCGATCAAGTCGGGTCCTGCTCTATAGGGCGACGCCCAATCCAAATCGGTACATCCGAGTGAATAGCAGAAAGCTCTTTGTACACATACTGACTCATAAAGCAAGGGATTTTGCTTTGTCCCCAATCGTTTAGAGATTAACAACGACTCAAATTTTTCTAGACAAGGTCGATGCAGGCCTCGAGTTGTTTGGAACATAACATTTCTAATACAAATAGACTAATTGCAGAAGTTAGTTTCAAGTATAAGTCTTAATATAAATGTTGTCAAGTAAAAATAAATTAGAAGTGTGAATTATAATAGTGCTTAAGTATTAAATAAATTACCCAAGTAACATTTTTAGATTTATCAAAGTATACAAGGTACCTAACCATAAAACTCTTTTTTAAAACACTGATAAAACTTTTACATCCGCGAGATAGCCATAGGGCTACTATAAATCTACTTTAAGAGTAAAAGTGAGAATCTTATATAAAGGTCCTTAGGAGTATTTTTAAAATAATATCTTAAAACTAATTAGACCTAAGACAAAGTCTGTAAGAGTATATTAAGAATTTTATTTAACCATTTTTTAATCTTTTTTAAGATTATGATAATAAGTAAGAATGGCATAAAAACTTTACAAAACTATTCAGTTTTAAGAGAATTAAATTTTAAACTGTTTTAGCTTTATTCTGTTTTATCATACTCTCTGACATAATGATTTTGCAAACATGTGGAAAGACTGCCATATTAGAAATTAATTATTATATAGTGTATGTTTAATTTGTTTAGTTACACTTGTTTTTTCTTCAATTTTCAAACACACACCAAAGTACTGTTAAAAGTGGGCAAGGTGGGTCGTATTAAATGATGGGCCTTACAATATATAAAATATACGTAAAAAAAGGATTACTGTATGAATTCTAATCTATTTACCGAAAGTTATTTAATAGAAAATAACAATGTAAATATCGTATAGATAGCACTATAAACTGATTACATTTGTCTTCGATATGTTTTTCAAATAAAATATCACATTTTGTATTTTTCAAATTATTTCATGGAAGTGACTATTTAATCGCCATCAATCCTATTGTAGATTTGTCTTTGCATGGATACTTATTATCGTCAGAAAACCATTTTCAATTGCGCATACTACCTACTGGACTATCAGAAACAAATTTTGTGTTTAATCATAAATTACTTTAGGCGAGGCAAGAGTTGTATAACATTATATCATAGAATATTCCAATATAAATGTAATTTATATTTAAAAGTATCAAATCGTTAGGATAACAGTAAGTCTTCTTACCGGACACTGTAGCCTTAAAAGGCACATGAGTGTCATCAATCCAGCAGAAGAAGCAACTTTGTGCAGGTTCTGTGAAGAAGAAGAGGAAACATAATTCCACGTCCTGTGCCAATGTGAAGGCCAATAAACCACAATGTGTTATTTGTAGAGAATTCTTGTCAAAAGAAAGCATGAAGCCATCAAAGTTACTTAGACATTTAAATAGAAACATCCAGATATAAAAGAAAAACCCCGTAGAATTTTTTGAAAGAAAGCTGAACGTCATTCACAAACAGCAAGAGGCCAACTACTTGGGAGTCATCTTTGACCACAGGTTAACATGGAATCAACACGGTGGTATGGTGGCCAAAGACTCAGCAAGCTGGAGCCATTCGACAGCTCAGTGGTGTATCCAAATGCAAGCATGTCTGAGTACCACGGGAGCTATTAGAACGACTACAACAGCAGCTATAGGTCATGCTAAACCTAACACCACTACATATATTCATTCAAGGCGAAGCAAGGTCTGTCACATACAGACTGCACAAAGGTTCATCAACCATAAGCAGTTTGCATGGACGTGACTACAGCGAGCTATATAAAGAGTTGGAGAACGTCCAAATAATTGGAATGCCTTCAGACGAAATGCTCCCAAAGTATAGCTTTCAAAAGTAATATAAAGTAAGTATACCAGACAGGGAAGCGTGGATGGGAGGACCACCTATTCATGCAGATTTCACCTGATATACAGACGGCTCCAAAACCCATGAAGGTATATATAGTATATATAGCCAAAGACAAGAATCTCACTGAGCTAAGGTAAACATGCGACAGTATTCCAGGCAGAAATAGCAACAATACATCACTGCACAAAAGCTTGTGTGGGACTGTTTGGAAGTCCTAACAGAGCTGGGTAGTCAAAACAGACTAACCTTAGCTTAGGTACCAGGCCACAGAGGACATAAGGGCAATGACGAGGCTGATTTACTAGCCAGAGAAGGAGTCTCAAATGCTCTTATTGGCCCAGAACCCTTCTGTGGTGTAACAAAACAACTATCAGAACATGCACAAAGCAGTGGATGTTTAAAAAAATCTCAGGAGTGGTGGAAAAACTCACCAGGACAGATACAGTCAAAGAGTTCTTAAAAGGACCATCGCCTAAACTCACCAAACATCTACTAAGCCTTAATAGGAAAAATACTAGAGTACTAGTAGGTCTATTAACAGGGCATTGTAGGCTTAACAAACATATGTATAATATCGATCTGACAGAAGAGACCTTGTGCCGATTGTGTCAAGAAGAGGAGGAAACGACAGAACACGTATTGTGCTACTGCGAAGGTCTAGCAAGACTGAGATTCCTTACACTCTAAGAAGAAAAAGCAAGGGCAACTAGCTATACCGAAGAACTATTTCCCTGTCTATGGAGTCTACTACAAAAAACCGAATTAGACAAGGTACTCTAAACTTTAAACATTAAAGGATATCCACAATAGATCTGAAAAGGTCGAGGTGGGGGAGGCCATATGGCCCATAGTCCTAATTAAATCTAAATCTAACAGCAAGATACTTTTTCATTGACAACCACTACTAATGAAACAGCATTATTAGTAAGTTATAAAGTTGCTTATCGCATTGCCAAAACTAGTAACTACTAACACAATTGCTGAAAATCTAATTTTGCCAGCAGCTGTTGAAATTGTACATATTTAATGTTTGGTGAAAAAGAGGCGGCCAAGTTAAAAACAATACCTCTGTCAAATAATACTATCCAAAGAAGAATTAGTGATATGGCAGAAGATATTCAAGCGAAAGTTGTGGAAAATCTTAATAAATGCACTCTTCAAATCAGGAATCCTCAGATATATCTAACTGTGCTCAATTTATTACGTTTGTAGGAGATGATACAAATAATGGCATTCAAGAAGATATTTTATTTTGTTCCCCATTGGAGATACTGGAACTTGTTTATTCGACACTTTTGTGAAACGCACAAGTAAATATGATATTATTGATTGTGGAAAATGTATTGCTATATGCACAGATGAAGCTAAAGCTATGACAAGCCATCAATCTGGTCTTGTCGCCAGATTACAAGAAATAATGCCTATTGCCACATCAAGATATTGTTTTTTACATCGAGAAGTTCTTACATTAAAGGCTTAACCTCCTGAAATGGACTGTTTCCATTAAAGGTGAAGCTTCAAAAACCCGTATTTTTCGAAAAATCTGCGAAGACATGGGTACTTTATTTGAAAATTTTCTTTCATACCGACGTAAGGTGGCTTTCAAGGGGCAACGTCTTAAAAGAATGTTTCACTTAAGAACAAAGCTTTTAATGTATTTTTTTTTCGACTTATGGCCTAGGTGTACATACCTAATGTGTAGGCTTTGTTACTGTTTCCCAGCTCCACTTCAGGAACATCACTGTTAATTAGAACCCAACAGTGAATGGTCGAGTGGGGAATCCTATCAAGGCATCAGAATTATTTGAAAGATAAGTCCCCTTATGAAAATCAATTTTCCGATCCTATTTGGCATCTGTGCCGATATTTTCGAACAATTACATATTTTGAACAGTAACAGTCTCGACATTAACATAATTACAGCCACATATAAAATTAAGGGGTTTATAAGAAAAATCGATTTATGGTCAACTTCACTTGGCAAAAAGCAGCTCGATTCATTTTAGTGCTTTTACAAAATTATGGAAGATGTATCCAATTACAGTGCTACAAATTATGAACAAGTTTTTGCAGGCATGCAAGTTATTTTGCTCAATTTAAAGCAACAGCTCTGTGATTATTTCTCCGAAGAAATCCAAAACAGTTGCAGATGGACACTGAATCCGTTTTTAGCAGATTCCTTTCAACATGTTGAAATACCAATAAACATGAAAGAAAAACTTATTGAAATATAAAGTGATGGAATGTTGAAGCTCCAATTTTTTCCCAGAACCCGGACAAATTTTAAACCAAAAGGATGCAGAAATACCTACCCACAGGTGGCACAATGAACAATGCCTGCAAGAAATCCTGTCCCCTGAGGCTGCTCCAACACGATCAGAGGACAACCGCATGGTGGTGTCACGAGTTGCATCACCTTAGAAAGACGGCTAGGAAAACCTTTAATAAGGCAATAATCACAAAACTTAAAGAGAATACAAAAAAATCGTTAGACAAAAACAGAAAGATGCATGGAGATCCTACTGCGAATAAATCCAAGATTTTTGACAGGCAGCGAGGCTTAAAAAATCTCTCTCAAAAGATCCACACTGCAGCATTGGTGCGTTAATCAAAGAGGATGGCATGAAAACTGCCAACTTCCAAGATAACATTAAACGTCTGCTGTCGACACACTTCCCTGGATCGGTCATCACAAACGTGGCCGACTGGTCAGAGGAAGAATACAACCCATCTATCTATGAATGGCAAACTGCCAAACACATTCTAGACGATGACAAAATTAGATGGGCAATATCGAGCTTGTCTTCATTTAAATCGACAGGACCTAACGGAATCTATCCAGCCATACTTCAGTAGGGTCTGGAAAAACTCACACCGTACCTGGTAGGTGTAATCAGATCCTCGTTGGCTCTGTTATGTACCCAAAAAATGGAGAGAGGTAAAAGTGATATTCATACCCAAACCTGAAAGGATGGATTACACTGTCTCAAAAACATCGTTTTATTTATATGAAGACATTGGAAAGGGTATGCGAAAGGTACATAAGGGATGCGGTCAAAACAACAACACCACTACACAAATCAACTGCATACACCTCAGGCAGATCTGATTCAGCCCTTCACCTAGTTGCTGTCCGGATAGAGATCCCTGGATAATAAGGAGTCCGCCTTGGGTGTTTTCATATAAATAGAAGGTTCTTTTGGTAAAACTAGCTTCCCCAAGATAATACACTCACCAACAGGAATGTTCCACATACCTGGTCATTCTGCAACCAGGGAATTTTAAGAACATACTCTGCGAAATAATGCAAGTAGCTCTCAAAATTATAGAACAGTGGTGCAAGGACCATACAATGTTTATCAATCCCAAGAAGACAGAAATGGTCCTTTTCTAAAGGACCATTCAGGAGCCATGAAAATCACACCGATTAAAGCCATGGAAGTCTCACTCCCCTTGATATTTACATCAAGGAGCTTGCTCTGATGACAAGGACACGCCTCCGCACGGTTGGAATAGAACCTGATGTAGGATCTCGTTAGGCGAGATGTGGCTTTTGGCAGGAGGCGCTCGATACGCTCCCACTGCTTCAAGCGAACATGAACTCCATCTTTTAATTATTTATTAATAAATATTTAAAAATATTTGTATTTCGATGTTTTTAGGTCTGTGGAGGGGCGCTCAGAGATATAGTACCTACGGGCGACTCGGCCCCTAAATCCGCCTGATTTCTTAATATTATTTTATAATTTTTACTTTTGAAACATATTAAACTTATATTTTTTGAAAATATCTCGCTTATTCACAGCATGATTTTTGACAACCTATGACAATTTAAATTTATAAATCAAAAACTACAATTTCCACTACTCAAACAATTTTATCTATAAAATACCAACGAAAATCTGAACGAAAATTAGTTACTTAGCGAATTCGATTTATAATGAATGAAGTCAAGAATCGATTTCCAGTTTATTAAACTTGAAATGACGGCTCAAATAAATCAATAATTATTCTAGGGTTACACAAAATTTGATACTCATTCTATTTCAACATACAAAGTGCTAATGGTGTGTTTTAAGTTGTGACTAGTATTTTGAAAGTCATAAATTATTAACCAGTTTAAAATCAAATAAATAAAAAGTTAAAACTTCATTGTGGAAAACATTACGAAATGAAAATTTGGACATTTTTATTGTGTTTCACAAAATTAGTTTAAAAAATTAATCATAATAATATTACTGCACTTGATGAATGTTTTTTCATTGTCACTGAGTCAATTTTTGAGTTACCTTAAACACCTTTACCTTTTCATTAAAAAGCATATTTTTAGCTTAGGGAAATTTAAAAATTCTTACTGATGGGGCGATTCATTACGATGAGTTCCATGCATCATAACGGGCGGCATTAGGGGGGAAGGTGACCCTCTCATACTTCCACATATAGACCCATGCACAGATCCTAGGACAGAACCCATTCTGGATCCCAGATGAGAACCAACGGTAGATCCGTGATAGTCCATGCCTGGATTATTTACGTCGTTTATGATTGGTGACATAACTCGGCTACCTGGGTGAAGTGGATGAATGTAGTTACTGTGAGGTGTTATATGGTCTTCTTCAGCTAAAATAAATTTTCATTTTTTATCAATTATGTTTATTATATATATTTTTAAAAAGTATGTATAAAATATTTAAAATTATTTGTATTCAAAAAGGATTCTAAATTTGCCTTAGTTTTATTTACTTGTTCGCAATTTAAAAAAATCTGTATACCTATACCACATTAGTGTGACCGCAGAGCTGGGCACGAGTACTGAATAAAATACTCGTAAATTGTACGAGTACGAGTAATCGAAAATTGTATTTATAAGTATTTTATTCGTAATTACTTTTATAGAGATAGTTTACGGATACGAGTAGTAATCGTGAAAATACGAGTAAAGAGTACGAGTAGTTTCACAAAATTAACCTAATAATTAAATAAACTATAAAAAAAAAACAAAGAAAAACCACTATAATTTTTAAATAAAAATAGTCTTTATTTACCTAAACAAAAACAAAAAACTATTCTAAAATAAATAAAGTACAAAAACTTTGTTTAGAATATAAAACAAACCAACATGGTCAACTTGACAGTAAAGAAATAAATACAGTTTTTTAAAACTGGTAATTTTTAACTTTGTAAAAACTCATCCTTTTGTTTCTCTACTTTATCGTTAAAACAAATCAATATTATTTTGAATACGCCTTTACACGCTGAAACAGAAAGATGGGGTTTCTGTTATTTTAAAAAATTTTAAACTGTAATCGTCCCCATGTGTTTTAAAAATAAAAAAAAATTAAATTTTGACTGCACCCGAAGATGGAAACAAAGTTTTTCGAAACATATATAGTGTTGTACTTACAATAGAAAATAAAATTAATGACCGAATAAACCAAGGAACTTTTTATTTATATAAAATTCTGCTACGGTCAGGAAATTATCCTTATTCAAATTAAAGAAGATTGTGTATGGATACTATAGACGTTCTCGTAGGAAACACATTCACACCACCACAAAACACCAAAAATAATAAAACGTAAAACGCCCAACGAATTGCTTTTCCCAATATTCAATAATAAAACGTAAAACGCCCAACGAATTGCTTTTCCCAATATTCTCAAACCAAATCAGAGACCGCAGCCCGAACGCAACCGAGGCCGTTTCGTGTCGTGATACTGGCGATCGATAGTAGCGACTGGCGGTTAACATGCCAAAAAATGCCGACTACTCGTAAAATAATACTCGTATTTTACAAGTACATTCTACGTGTAGATTTAAATTTACTTGTAAGTACGAGTAATAAGTACTTAAAATAAAAAATACTTATAAGTAAAAATTACGAGTAGTTATTCTACTCGTAATCGAAATACGAGTAAAAGTATTCGAGTACTTGCCCAGCTCTGCACAGTGTGACGTCAGGGAGCCAAACAAAAACAAACCATTCTGTCATTGCGTTTGACTGTATATATTTTTTGTTTTTTTATATTTGTTTGCGAGTTGTAAAAAAGTAATTTAAATGTATGTATGTAACCCTATTATATTACATTATGAGTGTGGAAAAATTACTTTTACACAATTATTGATGTATAATATTTTTCCTACGAACACTAAATAATTTCATAAAAAATATGTAAACCCTGGAAATCTAGCTACGTAGGTTCAATCAATATATGCCCTATTGAATCATTTTAAAGGGATAGTGTTTTGTAGAAATTAAAAACAACGCAAATATATTTACAAACATTTTCATAGGATGACATAAGTATAACAAATAATATTAGGTCCAAAAATTATTAGAATACAATGATTTTTTTTTATTAGTTTTTTTTTTAAATTTAAACTAATAATAAGATAAACAACTATGAACAAGAACGTTTTTTATTATTAAGGACGGGATATCCTTTTTTATAAAAATTGTTCAAATAAAAGTTGTTTGTAATATAATTCTCTATAATTTTTATTCTATACATAATTTCTCTGAAATGGACCGTATTCGAGATATTTGAGAAAATGTGTAAATTTTGAACAAAGTCGGAACATCTGGGGGAGGGGGTACTTTATGGGAGGCAGTTTTTATATTTTATGGAATATGTCTATTATTTATGTTTGGAGAAGAAAATTGTTCAAATAAAAGTTACTTCTAATATTATTATCTACAACTTTTGTCTTATGTCAAAATTTCCTGAAATGGTCCGTATTCGAGAAATTTGACAAAATGTGCAAAATTCTGATTTTTATGAAAATTGTTGAACTAAAAGTTGTTTGTGATATCGATCTCTATAATTTTTGTTTATATATGATTTTTCTAAAATGGACCGTAATGGAAAAATTGGAGGAAAAGTGCTAAATTTAAATTTTTCAGTATTTTCGTTTTCAATGAATATCTATAGAAAAATGTTTCGAGGTAGATGTATGTGGAAAATGTATATATTTAGTTTATCCTCTAAATATTTATAGAGGTGCTGCAAAAGGTTGTATAAAATAACCGGAAAAAGCCTATAATAACTAGATAGGAAAGTCATATGTTGGAAACATCAGATTTTTTTTTAGTAGACTGGCGAGTGACGAAAGGATAAAATAGACCAAAACATAAAATTTTTCATTGATTGTCGAAATTTTACCAAATAAAAAAATCATTCGGGAACTGTGGACGCGAGCTAACAATAATGTATAAATATTTACTCTTGAACTTATTATGGCGTATTACGTATACTTTATTTTAATACTTTTATTGTACCTACTGTTTTATATTATTACATTTTATTTAACGAAAATCGACTTCGATTCCTGGATTAAACTATAGTTTATTTGAAAATGAATGATGGCAATTTTTATGACCGAGGAGATAAACCGCAATATAACATCATAAATCAGTGACGGATAATTTCTAAAATAAAATGATTAGCATTATTTTTTGATTTGATTTTCTTCCTAAAATTTTTAAAAATACCAATTTATTTCAATGTTTGTCTTAAATTTCTAGTCATTTTAATCAACAAAAATAAGGTAAGTATGTAATCTCTATAGCTAGAAAATATTTACAATTCAAGATCAATTTAAGTAGCCCTTAACTTTCTTAGAAACAATTAAAATTTCTAATTGACAGTAAGTTTTATGCAGATTGTAAATTATTTTAGTTAAGATTTACATTTCTGTTTGTATAGTCGTGTGATTGTAACATGCAGAATTGTTAGTTCTGTAATAATAGGCGATATTGATCAAGTGAATTTGTGCAATAAAAATGACACAAACGTCTAATTATATTCCTGAGAAATTAAAGTACAATGTAACCGTGCATATGAAAACTTTAGGGTAAATGTACATGAAGCTCTTGTACATGAATATCTCAATAGTAATGTTCGAAGTATAGTTTCTAAGTGTTCAAATGTGGCCGGAGTTGGAGAAGCAACCATTTATAGACTTTTAAAGCAACGAAAGGATGGAAGTATTACCCTAAAACGTCAACTGGGACAAAACCCATTCAAATAGACGGTACTATAAAACAACTAATCCGAAGAAAAGTGCATTCGTTTTATTTACAAAAAGAGATACCTACTTTGGATAAACTTTTAGTAGACATTAATGAAGACGAAACTTTGCCAAACGTTAAAAGAGACAAATTGGGGAAAACTTTACATGAATTAGACTTTATTTGGAAGAAGAACGATAGAAAATCTGCGCTCATTGGAGGAAGCAATATTTAAGGGACATTAGAAAATTAAGAAGAGAAGACAAAAATATTTTTATTTGAATGAATCATGGATAAATGAAGGATATTTTGTAAAAACAGTTTGGCAAGATAAACAGTTTACAAATGCTCGTCAGGCATTTATAGAAGGTTGATCTACTGGCTTAAAATTTCTAAATAGTAAAGTTAATTATCACTCATATTGGAGGAGATAAAGGATTTGTTGACAGAAGCTTGTTGGAATTTGTTTTAAATTCAACAAAAGACTACCACGAAGAAATGACTGCTGATGTTTTTGAGGAATATTTTAGTCAAATGATAGATTTTTTACCGACCAATTCTGTAATAGTTATGGACAATTCCAGTTACCATTCAAGATTAAAGGAACCATCACCTAACACTAAATGGAAAAAGAGAGAACTCTCCGATTGGCTAATAACCAAAGAAATAGTGGCACAAGAGGGATTACTTAAAAAAGAGCTATTGCAGTTATGTAAACAACATTCACCAAAATTTAAGAAATATAGTTTAGATGAAATAGCAAAAGAACATGGAGTTAAAGTGTTGCGGTTACCATCTTATCACTGTAAACTTAACCCCATTGAACCAATCTGGGCTTAAAAGAAGGGATATGTCGCGAGAAACTATACCACATTTAAACTTCAAGATGTTCGTAAACCATTAATTGACTTCATATTAAAAATTTCACCAAACAATTGGCAAAACGCTGTAAGACAAGTCATAGCAGAGGAAGAGAAATTCTGGAAACTTGATATGTTAATGATGACTCCTTATCGGGAGAAAATGACTTATTTATTTAGGTATGTAATACAAACAAACAAATATATATGGAATCACCCTGTATTTCTAAAAACGAAATATGAGAAAAGATTTTTTGCGAAGATTTTTTTTAGTATATCATATAAATGTTGTTGTTTGTATATTTATTATTAAATTTTAAGGAAATATCGGTAATGTGGGTACTTAATATTGACAGTTTACTATTTTTTATATTAATTTCGGGTTCCCCGTCACCGAAGTATAGAATTGTTGGGTAATGCCTTAGGGTTTGCTCATTTACATTTTATGATTTACTGTATTCGAGATTTTTCGGGATGGTCATACTAAAATCTCAACGGAAAGAGGACATACCTCGTAGTACAAAATAAATAACGAAAAGATTGACAAACTATCTAAAGGTAGGACTGATATAAGAAAAAATAAAATAAATTAAAAATAAATAAAAAAAGTTTTCTCAATCTTTATTTTTTCAAAATAACAAAAAGATTGCTTAAATCGGGGATTGAAGCCTCGTCTCTAAATTCAAAGTTGATAAAGTTAAAGACATATGCTCTGGTCCATGAATTCTTATGTCAAATGAATGATCAAA